GGTGACTGCATGTTTGCGAGCAGAGTGTCTTGGAGATCTCACAATCGACTGTCGAACTGCCTCCACATTTTCTGGTGCCGTAACGGTCCGTTGTTGTCCTGATGATTTTTTCACCATACTCCCGGTTGTCCTAAAGTTCTCTACCCGCAAAACAATCGATTTCTGGCCGGGAACCGGACCTTTGGGCTTAATTCCAAAGTGAGTATGGAATGCACACTGCACCGCCACGTAGGAATGGTTGTTCAAAAAATAGGTTTTGACACCAAACGCATGCTGCTCACTTGTCCACCTTATGTTCCCTACTGATGGGTATTAGACAGAAACTGCTGCGTTCGCCGAGCCTATCCACACTTTTTTGCAACCTCCCCTCCCTTCACAATGCGTCTTCACAAAAAGGAAGTTTCTGCGCCCCACCCTGTACTTCAAGAGAACCTGCCCTAGTGGCACTTCGTCCACCACATATCCCACATGATCTGAGCTGGGCTAGAACCCAGGCAATCATGGTGGGAAGTAGGCGATTAACTGCCTGAGCTATGGCATGGCCTCTTGTGCTCTTTAATGCACACTTCTAAAATGTCTGCTTCTTTTGCTAATGTAACATTTGCCACAATCACATGGGATATTGTGCACACATTGCTTCGTCTGCTGGGGATCTCTAACCACTCCAATTTTCATCAATGTTCCATGGAGTGTATGTTTAGTTCTGAAAATGGCCCTGACACTGAAATGGTTTCCAATGCACCTGAATTTCTCAGAGATGCCCTTAGTATGTGGGATACTGACTGTGCCATGGTACATTGTATCTGAAGGTGGACTGTTGCTTCCTGATGGCTTCATTATGAAGTCAACAAATTCTTGTGGGTATTCATTAAGCTTCACATCATGTCGTATGTTCTTAATTTTATTGCTGAAACCCTTCTGGCCTGACATATGACCTTGGTTCAACTGATCAAACTATGAACTCACTTTTTCATGTGATGTGGGTGGCTGGACTTGAAGTGCAGATAATAACCAGTATTACTAGGTTTCTGGTACACTTTCTTGCTGAATTTTGGATGCCTCTTTATGACCAAAACGTCCAAGAACAGATGGGTATCATTACTTTCAACGCCAATTTTGAATTTGATGGTAGGTCTAACACTCTTCAGATGATGAAGAAAACCGCTGTAATCTTGCTAGGCCATGCAGCGAAACCATGAAAGTGTTGTTAACATATCTGGGTGGCCGCGCCATAGCTCAAGCGGTTAGTCGCTGGCTTCCCACCGCGGCGGCCCGGGTTCGATCCCGGGTCTGGTCAAGCGGGATTTGTAGTGGACAAAGTGGTGCTGGGGCGGGTTTTCTCCGAGCAGTTCGGTTTCCCCTGCCAATCTTCATTCTACCAAATTCTCCATCATCATAATCAACCGGGGCAGGTACAATAGGTCAGTCATTGGCCACCGTACCGAGTGAACCCAGTTGGACTACACCCCTCACTAAGCGAATTTTAATTTAACATATCTGGGCTATTTTGCAGGTTTGTGGTCTGCTGTATCCAGTGCTAGTTCCTCAGTGTTCCACAATATATTACTGAAAATTGCAGATAATGAGTTTTAAACAAAAACAGGACAGTGCTTTAAATATAAACAGGATGCTGGATAATGTCCACAAACATAATATTAGTATGAAATGATATATTCAAGACAAATATATAGCAGAGTTCAAATTCTGAAACTTTAACTTACGCCTGTTCCATCACAGTCACGTTCATTTGCTAGCTTTCAGCTTTGAACAATTGTTAAGAATATAGGACAGCTGAGGGGGTCAACCTGGAAATGTACTGAAAAATATTTTATGACATACATACACGGAACAGAACCTGAACAACTTTGTAAAAAGTACTGCATGACTCCTGAACCCTGTTCATCCCTATCTGGCTATCCTATTCATTTGTTATGTCATCATGATTATATTTACATACATTATAACTTAGGATCACGAGTTTACTTGTTCATTACTACCCAAGGTGAGGTTAGTGATGTCCTTTACAATCATCTCTGCTATCTGCCATGCCATCTCCTCCTTCGCCTGTCAAACAATGAATTTCCATTAGCACTAACACATTACCATTGCAGTCTTCACTCACACCTTCCTTGACAAAAGGCTACATTCTATCACTTGCTTTTCTTTAACATGAAAGAAGGTTACATCATATCCCCTAAGAAATGAAAGGTTATTGGAGAGTTAGCACCTCCTATCTAAAAACACTGAACTTATGACACAAAACAATAATTGTACCTGTTGTGTTGTATGGACATGAAACTTTGTCTCTGATCCTGAAATAACAAATATGCTGCAGATGAAGAATGTCTGAGAACACTGGGCTGAGAAGAACATTTAGACCTAAGAAGGAGAATGTAACAAAAGAGTCGACAAACATTTTTAATTAGAAGCTTCATAATTTGCACTCTACACCAGATATTCCTACAGCAATCAAATCAAAGAAAATGAGATGATCATGAAATGTAACGTGCATGGAACAGAAATGTAGTCCATAGAAATTTTTGGTTAGAAAACACACAGATAGAGACAACTTGTAATATTGTGGTATACAGGGAAGGATAATACTGAAATTAATTACTTTAAACAAATAAAGTGTGAAAATGTGGGCTGGATTCATCTGGCTCAGGTTGGTGTGCAATGGGAGGTTCTTGTCAACATGATACTAAACCTTTAGGTTCTGCTACTGGTCCCTGTTCTGAGCTATATGAATCCAGTTGATACTTTCATATCCTAGTTCTTTAAGATCCACTCTCATATTAACCTTCCATCTATGCCTAGGTCTTCCAGGTGGTATCTTCCCTTCAGTTTTTTTTTTAACTAAAATTTTGCAAACATTTCACTGCTCTCCAATGTTTGTTACAAGCCCTGCTCATCTTCCATAATTTTATTGTCTTAATAATATCATGTGAATGGTGGAAATTATGAAGCTCCTCACTGTACAGTTTCCTCCAACCTCACATCATTGCCTCCTCCTCTTACGTCCAAACATTCCCCTCAGCACCCTATTTGCAAACATCCTTGACAAATGTTTTTCATCTTAAGCAGAAATAAAGTTTTATACTCATAAAAAAACAATATGTTCACAGTATTGTATTTTTAATCTTCATGCTTTTAATTACGAGATGGGGAGACAAAAGATCCTGAAGTGGAAGTAGTAAGCATTCCCTAATTTTAACCTGCTCTTACTACTTTTGTGAATGTAATTCTGCTTTTTACTGTAGTACACAAATAGTTTATCTCTGCCACATTCTGAGAGTTGTGGGAACATCCCACATAACACACTGTTTCACCGGTCTAACAGACAACACTCACTCCTAGGTCAATATCACATTGTCACATATTGCTGCTGATGCTCATATTTATACAGCACTTGATGTCCAACCCACCTGCAGATCATCACGTGCGCTAACCAATCACATTGCTGCCAACGCTCGTATTTATACAGCACTCGCTGTCCAGCCCACCTTTACATCATACCGCACGCTATCCAATCAGCGCTCACAGTCACAACTGCGTGTTTCGCTCCGCCCATCAAGCATGGTATAAAAGGCGAAGCCCAAAGCTCACAATCATCAGTGATCATATTCAGTTCAGAGCGATCGGTCATCAGTCATCAGCTCTTCACTGCTACCAAACAGCTAACGTAGCTGCCGCAGCTCTCCAGCAACCTCGTTCTGCGACCAGGCAGCTAACGTAGTTCCCGCAACTCTCCAGCAACCTCACTCTGCAACCAGACAGCTAACGTAGCTGCCGCAGCTCTCCAGCAACCTTGCTCTGCGACCAGGCAGCTAACATAGTTCCCGAAACTCTCCAGCAACCTCGCTCTGCAACCAGGCAGCTAACGTAGCTGCCGCAACTCTCCGGCCAGCTCCATAGGCAGCTGTTCCTACCGGCACACACAGCACATCACCGGCCAGACAGGCCAGCTGAACGGCCATAAGATTTGGCCTACTACGAAGGAGCAAATTCTGCCAGCGCACTCGCAGTGGAACAAACTGCCCTTCTGAGGGCCAGCCAACTTTTGAACATTCTACATAGCTTCGCAGCTATTCTGTACATTCAATTTATACAATTTAATATATACAATTGTTATAGTTTTACGTGGTTGTCATTTAGAACATCGACGATCCCACAGTCTTCATTAGGTCAGTCAATACATAAGATCAAAAATGTGGCAGAGAATCAAATAATACAGCAAGACAACAAATTTAATTGCTTTACTTACAGGAATCATATATAAAAAACAAGGATCTGGAGAAGAAATTAATACAATTCTCAAGAATAAAAGGCACAATGAAAAATACTGAAATATAAAAATCTTAGATACATATTCTTATATGTCACAGTAGCATTTTCTTTCATCATGATAAAAAGTTCAGAAAATAACAGAAAACAACACAAGAACTGAAGCTGCTGAAATGGAATTTCTGAGACCAGCAGGAGCTGACCTATGCAAACAACAGATAAGTGAAGGAAGATACTGGAAGGAATTCACAGATTACTAAGAAAACAATATGCCAAAAAGAGTTTTGATTTACGGTCCATGGAGAAAGGGAATGGAAAATATATAAAAATACAGATTTGACAGACTCACTAAAGGAGGTATTCATATGGTTGGAATGGCCACCAGATCTAATACCAAAGTTGAAAATATATTTATCTGTACAGTCAACTCTCGNAGAAGGCATCCAAGAAATTACAGGTACCACAAACACAGTTTTTGAGGTCACTAATAGCCTTCATGGGGGCATGTGCTAGTGTAGTTGGTTGAGGCACTATGCTACAAGCTGGAAGGTCACTGAGTTCAATTCCTGATGAGGTCACTGAATTTTCAGTTTATTTAATTACTCAATCCTTCCAGCTGCACAGTGGCCCTGGGGCTGACTCAGCCTCTAACAGAAATGAGTCCTAGGAATCTTCCTTGGGGTAAAGGCTGGCTTGCACATAAGGCTCACAACATTACTGCCATCTGTGGACCAACTATCTGGAAAATGTGGGAGCCTTAACATCTCACAACCCTGTGTGCCTCCAAGTCCTATTAGAGGAATAGCTTTACCTTTTAAGAGGCTTCATAACATTCAACCGCAAAAAAAAATTCTGACATCAGAGAAAACTTAAGGTTACAATCACAACTGAACAAATACAAAGACACCAAAATATTAAAAGTAACTTGAAAAAATGCAAAAAAAAAAAAAGAATTTGTTTGAATGGATTCTATTACCAATCAAGGGCACGATGAAACTTTAGGTAACAAACAATAAAACAGGAACCAAGACCATCTTAGGATTCATTGGAATAAGTCTTAATCATCTAACCCTAAAAAGTTCACACTGAAGCTGAAGTTGAAGTTGAATTTAAAGTATGAAATAAAAGAATTACCTTATTTTCCTCCATGTTGACCAGCTTCTTAACCACCTTTGCAATTCGAGATTCTGAAAAACCAAACCACCAGCTCAATACAAATAATTAATTGCTTTCCATTATCAATCATTTACCAAGGACTTTCACCAAGTACAAAACAGTAAGCTTCTCGAGGCATACAATGAATGAGGCTTCTCCATAAAAATATATGAAAGAAGGAGGAAGAAAACCTGAACTCCTCCAGTTCTCTCAAGAAAAAAAAAAACATGCTGACAGGTCAAGATTACAAAACTGAACACAAACCTTCCTTTCTGTCTGGTTCAGGTTCAATGTCCGTTTCAAATCGGCCCAATGCATTTATTCGACCAAAATTCAACCCCCTGGAAAACAAATACAAAAATTTATGAAGTTAGCAATATATGAACACAAGCCTAGGCACAACATAATGTACATCTAAATAAGAAGTGATTCATCCTAGTAGTATCCATTAGTATAGTGTACTAGCGTCTCTTTAAAAAAATATAAAAACTAAAAATAAATAAACAAACAATCTGTCAACAAATGTGGGAATAATGGCAGGTAAAATAAAAACAAGAATTTAGTTTCACTCAAGCTTTATGTCAATTTTTTAATTTAAAAGTATCCCCCCACTTCTCACAGATGAACACCTGTCTCTAGAAAATAAAAAAGGAACATTAACAGTGTTACACACTGCAACAGAATTAACTGTGAGAGGAAGGTGGTAGCTGTTCATATGGATGATTACTTCTGCCTAAGCAAGAAATGGGAACCTCTCAGCTACTCCCTGAAAAACTGAATGAAGCCTCCTTCATAGGATTTTCAAGATTGGGTTCTCCATCAAGCCTATGAACCTAGACATATCAGCCTTATCAAGACACCCATCAGGCTGCGTCTTCATTGCTCTTCTTCTACAGCAGTTTCATTCCTCCTCCTTCCCAGCTTCTTCCACTTTGAGCTCATTTCATCCAGTCAATTGCTTACGGCCTATTTACATGACTCCTCTCCTGTCCTCCCTCATTTTTCTACCTATTACTCTTGCTTATGATTTACCGCTTTCCTGTTTCCATTTATCTCAGAATTTCTGGGCCACTGACTTACTCTGCTCTATAGCGGCCTCCGTAGTCTAGGGGTAACGTTCCCACCTCATGACTCAAGGTATGCGGGTTCAAACCCGGCGGAGGTTGTGGAATTTTTAAGGGTGGAAAAATTCAGGGAACAAGTCCTCCAGGAGGGACTTTAAGCCACGGGTCCCGTGTCGTAGCTTTACGGCATGTAAAAGAACCTCATGCCTTAAGGAGGCCTCTGAGCCAAATTATTAAGGACATTTCCCGCCCAACAATAGTCTCTAACGCCTCTGGTAGATGGGAGAAGTATCTAGATACTGCTGAGCCAGCAGAGGCCGAACTCGCTGGCTGAGTCGGGACTGATGGCACACACCAGTATCGGTAGGGTATAGAGACTGGTAGAATATCACAGGGGGACGTACAATAGACCATTGGTCGCGGTGCATGGGGATACAGACCCCCTCCAATAATAACAATAATAAATAACAATACTCTGCTCTATGCCCTACTGGTTCATTCTGAGCCTCCTCGAGAACAATAAATCTGCTCTGATTAGCTCTCTGAGTTTCCTCTTAGCCTGTATCAAAGCCTGGCTATATGCACACAGTTTGTTCTGCTTGCTGGTTTCTTGCTTGGCTGACTCTCTGACCCTGAAAATGGACGCTGTACTTTCTTTTGATATGTTGGTGGACTTCTACCAAACCATGTGGTGTCGCAACCCAGAGCACAGTACTCTTCAGAACAGCAATCACTAGGCTTTTATTCATAAGGACTGGATATTGTGGGATGGCTTCTATACTGAACAAACTGTACAATATTATTAGTGTTACGTATGGTGGAGACTGAATTCTCAACAAAATATTTAGAGCAAACTTTTGGATACAAATCATCCATAACTTCAAATTTCTTGTGTAATGACATCACTTTTTATGATTTTCTCCATCTCAAACACAGTGAAGTTATAATGGTGATAAGACACCATAATGTATACCAAATTAAACTGTCTATGGCCCTGTTTCACTCACGGTTTGAAACAAAAGGAGATTTTCAACTTACATTTGGTGTCTCCTTTTCCAAAGCGTATCTGGGTCATACAACTGCCTTGAGTCAATACTCATTTCTCGGTCATCAACGTTGCGAATTACCTTACGTGGAGGAGTTGCTGTATCCTCCATAGCCAAAAGAGTATTATGGATGGAAATGCTACATTCACTACTGCATTCTGACCCTAAGGCAAACAATAAAATATTCATTACAGAAAACAGAACCGATCAAATAACAGAATATATTATGTAGTTTTATTGTTAATGGACATTAACATCTTTGTAACTGGCAGGCCATGGAACAATTTACATCTGGTAAAGGATTAATCTTATGGCTTATTGATTTCACTAATAATTTATTTCTAAAAATTTATTGTGAATTACCATACTACTTTTATGTTACATTATGATCCTCAATCATAAGATGTATCATTAACACTTCAGCTACTCCTAACGAGGTGCTTTGGATGAGGTATCTCACAAAGGAACAATTACAGCATATTCTATCTGTGTGATTTCTGTTAAACTAAAGAGTTAAGCTTTGAAACATCACAATAAAATCTTCATAAAACAACATGGAATGTTATGCTCATTATACTGTTTGCATTGGTTGTGACATATAAAAGAAATTGTGAAAGTTAAAGAAGATCTACAGCGTTAACAATCATGGGTGAGAATTCAAAGATTTCTTGTCAAAAGCAAATATATTAATTCTATAATTTGATGGCTGCTCCTACTAATTTTTATACTTGAACTGACAGTGGATTTCAAAATTGATTTCTTTCATTCATTCATTCATTCATTCATTTACCTTCCACAAATCCTGTCAAGAATACATTCTCATGCGGATGTGGAGATTGTTCTAGTTAGAGTCACAACTAAGAATTACAGTTGTCACCCAATAGCATACACATTCGTAATAAAATACTGATAAACATATACAATATAATAAATAAGTTAATTTTAGTAGTATAAGTAATGGCAAACCTTATACAATTTGTACAGTTTTATACAAGTCTATTAACTAAAAATTCAATAGTTGAAACACAATGTCATTAATGAGTATTGTATAACATACACATACATTAATAGTACAATAAATTTAAATAAGGACTAGTATACAGTGATATAAAAATTATGTATATCTAAAATAAGTAACTAAAAACTAAAAAACTCCTTTAAATTGTAAAGTAAGACAGTTTCTCGCATCTTAAAAAGATTTATAACTAAAATATTCCTGTTATCCATTTCCCAAAATTTATTTAACAGATATCTTTCAAATAAATACAGCTCCTACAGGATGGCAAAAGATCATGTTATGATACAGTTATAATTATGGAAGATCAAAATTATAACTAAATAATCAAGGTATAATCTTAAATGTTCTGTTATTTATCTGAACATCAGGCTTCAAAGTATTAACCAAAATTCTAAATTTATATAAATATAATTCCCCTTACTTGTGTAACATTTAACACTTCACATATACGTTTGAGATAATGCACATCTTTGCCTACCCTATAGAAAAAACGAAACCATAGAGTAAATTCTGTGTCCTAGTCACTGTTTTCAACTCTTACGAGTTCCATAGATTTGAAAAAATTTGTGTAATAAAACAAGCCAACTTCAGGCAATTAAAAGTAGTATAATACTTGTTCCAATTATTAACTCGAACTTTTCTTCTGATATGTGACACATTCTATATCCAAGGGTTTGTGAATCTACTTCTCAACCTGTATCTGGATCTGCTTGAATTTGAAATAAAAGAACAAGAACTAGAGAGTTGTGCCCAGAATATATAAAATGTAACTTTTCTGTTTCCCATTTACTACCACAGAACTGATAAAGAAAATGTAATATATTAGGAAATTTATTCCAAACTCTTGTCAATAAGTCTAGCGGTCATGGTTGTTATGCACTGATCAAATGTTCTCGTAGAATTTTTGGATTCAATTTGAATCTTCATTCCCAGTTCTTTTGTTTCTGTATTACATGGTAGCATCTTCTTTGAAGCTTTAGCTACTGCTATTTCCATTCTCTGGTGGAAAAGGAAGGAGGAACTTGTCACCCAAGGACTGAAGCAGATCCTGTTTCTGATATAATCTGTTCTGTTTGGAATACTTGATGAAAAAGTTAAAAAAACTCAGTAATACTAAGACCCACTCACCGTCAGAAATCATGCAAAACTGTT